GGAGAGCCTCCAGACTGATCTGCGAGTGAAACCTTGAAAGCTCACGAGATCAGGATGGTCTCACCAGGCTAGAGAATACCTTTGTTCGACCTGAAATGACTCATTTAATCATCCAAAACGTTATGGAACACATTAATTAACTGAAAATGTTGCATAGTATGCCTTTAACCAAGATGATGTGTTGAAATAGATCTGCTATTTTCACAGCTTTTGTGAGACACTTTTATACATGCATTAATTCATAAAAAGGTTTATTTGAATTCTATAAATCAAAGGCTACGTTTTATCTGCTAAATGTTTTTTTTTTTTTTTTTCATAATTAATTTAAAAAAACTAATTTTTACAGCTGAATTTATCAGTTTTTCTTGAGTTCTAATTCTGTTTTTATAGAGAATTAAGTAAAAAATATGTAAAATTCCTAAATTATGAATGCATATGGACCTAATGAGACATAGAAGTTTAATTAAACCTAATTGAATAGAAATGCAGCTCTCTTATTGTATTCGAATCCCTTTCCCTGTATTTAATTCCATGCTGTTCTGTGCCCCCATGAAAACATGCTGCCCCCCCCATGGCCTGATATTACATTTGGTCTAGAACCGAAGTAAAACATAGAAACCTGTAAGCATTGACTCTAAGCATGGCCGTCTCTCTGTCTGCTGCAGTTATGGCTCAGAAGCTCTATGTGAGGCTCTTCCAGAGGAAACTAAAGTGGCTCCAGGTCAATAAACTGGATTATGGAGAAATCAGCAGTGATCTGGGACCTGTTGCACAGGAACTGGTTCAGTTAGGATTTCTACAGACAGGTAAGTGGTTCCTAACCAGCGATGGCTTTTAATAATGCTTCTGTAGGAGTTTTAGAACATTTTCTCAGCTGTTTATTGATTCTTTCTGTCGGTGTCTCAGAGAATGACCTGGAGGACCTCGGAGAGGCTCTGGATCTCCTGCCGGCTCCTGAACTTAAAGCTCTCGCTAAAACTTTCCATCTGGGCTCTTCTGGCACCCAGAAACAGCAGTTAGTCGATGGGCTTCTCCGTCTGAGCAGGCAGAGGTCTTTTTTCTCTCTGGCCTCCAGTGAAAGCAGAGTTGGGACAGTGATCCTGAAACGGTGAGATGATAATTCATGGTTGGGATGTATAAACCT